CTCATTTTTCAAACACACATTGGAAAGAATATGGTTGGAATACCCTCCCTATATTGTTTTCTATTCCATTCAATGAAAGAATTTTCAATTTTTTTAATCACACTAAAACTATGTATAGAAATTAAATTTAAATTAATTTAACTTAATTTATTTCATGTTTATTTCTGAGAATCGTCTAGAAAGAAAATAAGCGTTAAACGGACGAGCTATGGCAACATTGCCATCATCTTTCTTTGTTGTTTGTTGATCAAACAATTGACATTGATTTTTTTGGTGCTGTTAGCTGTCATAGTTGTTATTTTTTTGTGAATAGGTGCTAGGAAAATAACTAACAGTATTAAGTTTTTGCAATATCCATTAATTTTTCAAAGAAAATACCCTAAATTTGGTAATTTATTTCCCATTAACATATGCACGGAGTGCGTATACACCAGACATGCCAGTACCTATTGCCAGTGATGAGCCGCCAAACAACAGCAAAACAGTGATGATAAAGATTTTGTTTTGCAAATATCTCGAAAAGTATTGGTTTCCCAGCTTTTTGGTTTTCAGATTCGTATTCTACACCCCAAAATACGTAAGTACTGGCAAAAATTTTGAAAAAATTCGACAATGCCCTCTAAGTAAAAAATTACCCAATCAACAAACTGCAATAGAAAACCAATACTAGAAGAAATAATTAGGAATAATTGTAATTTTCAAGAATACGGATTCAAAGTATAACATATTCACAAAGACGAAGTTATAAGTTAATGACAACTGTCAGAAAATAATTTTTTGATTATGACATCTCAATCTCATGAAAGAATCTTCTTCATCGCCTTTGTATCAAATATCACGTCGATGATGGAATGCACATCTGTGGTTGAGTACATATTGGAAAAAAATAGAAGAAGAGAATATCAACCTAATATGGTCTATTTTGACATGAACAAATGAGCTTTTTCCATTTTCAGGATGCCAGCGCCACTTGACAGGCAGACAGATTTTGATTCAAAGAACAGACAATATTTTACCTCCTCGCGTACTAGGTCGCCTACTAGGTTTTCATTTAGATCGACAATGGGTGAACATAATTAATCGCGAAGAAATGTACGTTTATTTCCGTGGGAAATAAAATCATTTAAAGTTCAACCCTCTGAAGAACTTTCCTATCTGTACAGCCTCCTTATATTCTGTCCCCTGCCTGCAGCTTCAACTATACGAGGTGGAAGAAAACTTCAAATATCGAAGTTTTTTTTATCGCTTGGAGCGCACGAAAGGGAATCCCTATAAGTTGTAGGGTTTGAGTCCAAATCAGTTTTTTTAAATGGAACACCCTGTCTGTTTTTAGCCCTTGTGAAATATCTCCTTGTTCTGTTCACAAATATATATATAGGGTGTCTCAGGTTTAACTCGTCTCACTTTGACAATCGATAGCAAAAATTAAAATATTATACACGTATTTTTTTGTTTTGTTGTGGAGAGACTAGTTCTCATTATACGGGGTGTTGAAGTTTGCATATTTTGTTTTTATTATTTTTGTCTCTGTTGAAACAAAACCTAGCGATCTGAAATTTAGGGAGCACCATCGGCAATATGAACAGTCCTCATCAGTAAAGGATACTTAGCTGGGTGTTATTGTTATTCTTTTCATATCCACTGATATGGAACCCTACAGATATTTTCCATTTTGGCGCTAATGGTGAATTATATAGCTGATGAAAAATGATCCCCATTTATTTATCTTGCTCTCAGCGCTTCATTTGTTCTGATCTCTTTCTTAGTGTACTTGTTATTCGAAATAATGTTATACTATGCAAAACAGTTTCTTGACCTGAATATTTATCTTACATCAAATTATCATTCGAATTGAATATTAAATGGATCACGAACAATTCATTGCAGAATTTCATACCTAGTAACCACTACATTTTTTATTGATTATTTTCAATATTCAACAATGTCCAAAGCACTCCATGATAACATTGTTCATTGATACCAATCAAGTATGATGCGGCCGAGGATGCGCCTGATTATGATTTGCTCAATAATAATTTGCGCGAACTGAGGAAGATACTGGCCACGTTTATACCGTGTCTTGGTAAGCTGACTAATGACTATATTTTAACTAAATACTCTTGGTTAGTGGTATAAACTGTAGACTTGGTAAAGTTTCCAGCTTGGTTTGGTACCGAAACTCGTTGCCCAGCGAGCACAAAAACATCTCGGAGATGTTAAAAGTACGAGATTTCGAGACATTGAACCTCCACTGCGATGTTCTGTTCACACATAAATAGAACTATTATAGAACAGTCAATGTCCGCCGCAGGCGGCAATTATCGAGATGTCCTTGATATGTCACAAAACTACCTTCTCCCTAGTTCTTTTTAAAGCCTTTTCATGGACACAACAAAACATTTCCAACGCGTCTTGCGCACATTAAATCGCTGTAAAGAAACCATTTTCTGAAGCCTTTTGTCAAAATGAACTTTTGCATTAGGATTCCATAGGTTTCCCAATTTTTGAAATGTTCTCCACAATGCATAATTTTGCAACTGCGGAGAAGCTGTGTATTGATAAATTCGTACTTTTATATATATTGATTACACTGAGGCACCGAACAACACATCTTGCATCTGATGGTCATTATTACAAACTAAATAAGTCTTCTAACACAATAAACTTCACCAAATTCCTTTCTGTTCGTTAGCAGCGTGATGTAAGCGTGACACGCTGCAAACGCGAATGCCAATTGCGAACAAAATCGAAAACAAATCAGAATTCATCGTATTGTGACGTAAGCATGAGACGTTGTGGTGGGGCAAACAAAGAAAGGGCACAAAAGAAAAAAAACAATACTTTCAATATCCTTCTAAGACCTCTTTGGGAAGTGCATATTACGCATCAAAAAAACATCTTCATGCCTACATTTCTGAAACATCCCACAACATCCCAGGGAACAAAGAAATGCCACAGAAGAACAAAAACAATACTTCAATATCCTACAAAGACCTCTTTGGTCAGTGCATATTACGTCCCATAATAACATCTTCATGCCAACATTTTCAAAACATCCCAAAACATCCCAGGGATGTTTGTGCTCGCTGGGTGCGTACCAGACTAAAAAAGTATGATGACCAAAACGGTGTTAACACTTTGGTCTACTCTTGTATAGCTTTGACTAGAGTTAAGTGCAAGTATCTGTTATTTCATGAGTCTTCATGACAATTTTCCATTCAATTTCAGCTAATTTCGAATCCTACTAAAAGTTATTATTCATAATTTTCGAATTTGAGTGGATTTCCACAACCTAACCTCAAAAATATAATCAAATCAAAACAAAGTTGGTGAAGTTAGTCAACTAAAGATACATGGTGTAAACATGCTCTAATTAAGGCAGTTGGTCTGAATTTGGTCAAATCGCCTTGGTAAGCATACCGGATATCCATACGGTATAAGCGTGGCCATTGAAACGAATGAAATATACAAAGTGAGGTGAAGAAACGGTAATGATTTTTCGTTCAATTCACTACAACGTCACAATAAAAAAATTTGATAGGTTCCATATCATATAGGGCTCGAAAAAAAAGTATAGCACCCAGTGTCCGAGTCCGCTCTATTGATACACTGATTTCAAATCGATAGGTTTCATTTCAACTCAGATAAAAAATGAAAACCAAAAATGTATGCGAACTTTAACATCCCGTATAATGAAAACTAGTTTCTCTAGGACAAAACAAAGAAATATGTATCAAATATTTCAATTTTTGCTATTGATTGTCGAAGTTAGACGAGTTCAACCTGAGAGTATGCAGTTTGCTAACTCTCCCTCAAGCCGTTTTCGACTAAATTCTTGCTACAATACCAATATTTTTGCATCATGTTGATAATATAATCTTAATATTTCGTATTTTTTCTCTTCGGAATAACTCATTTGGATTAGAGTAACAGACAGAGATATCAAAGAATGCATGTTTTGTTCCCATGGCATTATTCTGTTGTGTCCACGGCCATCTGAGTGTTAATGCCATTTTGATCAAATATTGTGAAAACAGAATAAGAGAAAAACGGCTCTAGAGAACATTAGCAAATGATATAATAGATAGATAGATCTTTATTGAAATAGGAAACCCTAATATACAACGAATAGCACTCACATAAATAACAATAATGATAATAATACGAATTATTATTAAAATGATTATATAATAATAATAAAATTATAAAAACATCAGGTACTAATAGTGATAACAATAATAATACTAAAACTAATGAAGGAGAATATGAATTGAATATATATACGTAGCTATAGAAAATTACATTGACAAATATTTTTTGAGGTTGTTTTTGAGACTAATCAAAGAAGTACTATACTTTACTTGTTCAGGTAGTTTGTTAAATTCGTGAAAACCTTTGAAGAATAATGAATTCATTGTCTTTTTATAATTTGTTCTGGGAATATGAATATTGTTGCAATTTCTTGTTATATATACGTGATTATGATCATCTCTGTTGAAAATTAAATATGCATCAAAATAAGTTGGAGCCATATTGTTCAGTATCTTGAAAACAAAAATCATAGTGAAATAATATACCCTTTGTTTAACTGAATACCATTGTAGTGTATTTTGCATCAATACAAGAGGAGTATCACGACTTGTATTCAGTATTACCCTCATACCACGATTTTGCAATTTTTGAAGTTGGTTTATTTTGTTCAAATCTAATGTAAACAACACCGACGCACAGTAATCGAAATGGGGTTGAATTATTGCATTGATATATTGTGATATTTTTATATCATCATCATATCAGAAGGAAAAGGTCTTTCACCACACTTGAAAATATCATCTGTTCGTTTAGGGAAGGCCAGAAGATAGTACAGATGAAACCCTATAAAACTTTTATATTTGAAGTTTTTTTCCAACCTCGTTCAGTTGAAGATGTAAAAGGGTCCAAAATATAAGGAGATTTGAGAATTTTGTTGATCTGAACTCTAAACTATCAATTTATTGCAGGAAATAAATCCTCAAACAGGTACAAGACTCGACTGTCCCTGGCCATTGACGGATAAACGTGCACATGGACAAGAAGATGGATATTGCCTTCAACAGCGCCAACAGAGGTCGCCAAGATTTTTACAGAGATCCAGAGACCATGATTTAGGTATAAAGCAAAGGTTAAGCCATATTTAATTTATACCCACATCAAATGAAACTAATGATCTGATATTTTAATTTTGTGGAATAGAAATAATTATATACGCTTCTTGGTCTCCGGATATTTTCAATCAATCTATCGGGTGGTCACAAAAAAATCGGAAGTTTTTATTTTCCTCGTGGTTTCATCATTTCTCAACCGAATTCGGATTTCTTGGCGTAGTTTCATAGCTAAAGGGCTATAGTATACAGTGGAATATTTGAAAATTCCATAATGAACAAAAACAAAATGGCGGATTCTACCAAAGTATTGTCATTTACAAAAACCGCTGGAGAAAAAGAAAATCAGATTTTTTCCAACCTGTGCCGATGTCATCTTAGGCTCTTCATTTCTGAAGAGAATGAGTACTCGAACATCAGAATCGAACAAATAGTTCAGTAGATACACTCATTTCCATACAATTTGTTATGGAGTGAATGTGCTTATCTCGTATAAACGATTATTATTATTTTGCTTCAGGCTTCATGAAAATTCAATCGAATTTGGATTTCTAAGAGTTATTTCTGAGATAAAGAACTGTAGTACACAATGGAACATTTGAAAATCCAATAATTAAACAAACAAAATGGTGGAGAATCCAGATTTTCAAAAATCTCTGGCGAATAAAAAAATGTTTATTCTCCCAATCAGGACCGATACAATTTTAGATCATTGATTTCTTGAAAGAATGGGCACTCGAACATCTGAATCGAAAAATTAGTCCAGGAGACACACGTTCTTTTTGGCAAAGTGGTATGGAGTGAATGTGCCAATCCCGTGATATGACTTACTTTTTCTTTGCTTCTGGCTTTATCAGAATTCGATCGAATTTGGATTTCACTCCATAACACTTTGCCAAAAAGAACGTGTGTCTCCTGGACTAATTGTTCGATTCAGATGTTCGAGTGCTCATCCTTTTCAAAAATCAATGATCCAAAATTTTATCGGTCCTGCGATTGGAAGAATGAACATTTCTTTATTCTCCAGAGATTTTTGAAAATCACAAAAATTCTGGATTGTCCACCATTTTGTTTCTTTCAATTATTGCATTTTCAAATATTCCATTATGTACTACAGTTCTTTATCTTTGAAATAACTCTAAGAGATCCAAATTCGATTGAATTTTCATGAAAGAAATTGTTGGTTATCTATCTCAAACAGCGATGCCGCTATCTCACTTCCTCGCACTAATGGTCCACCCTGTACATATCTCTCCATCTGAAGTTTCAGCTTCAAAAGAAGCCTGAGATTCCTAAAATCGGTTGACGAGGAAAACCGAAAGTATAATTTTCTGAGATAACTCTATAAATAATAGAAATAAGACAATGGGCGTGTACTCCTCAGTAAAACTTTTAACTCAAACCATGTTTATAATTATCCTTTTATACATAAATAATGATTGACGACATAATTCGATCGTAAAATTAACTGGAATGTTTTATTTTTGGACATAAATAATAGTACCTTCTGAAAACGGACCCTCTCTTATGACGTAGAAACCTCATCTCGCCATAGTTAAAAGAAAATACCAAATGCCCGACGGAGACTGAGGCAACTGATATATTAATTCCTTCAACTGTGATCTCGCGCTAATTCACTCTGTCAGAAATCATGTATCATTCGTCTCTGTCTGGAATTGTCTTGTTTCAGTGTTAGGGTTTTGACGTCACATCATCGCCTCGTTTTCAGAGGTCCGAAAAATCGGGGATTTCAATAATTTTTTATAAAACGTAGGGAGCTCACAGCAAGAAACGGTTTGCGGTGGTGAGCTAGTTTGGGCGATTTCTATCGAATTATGAAGTAAAAAAATTTTGTGATATAAGCCCATTCCAACTGTATCCCAAGGTAATGAGTTGAAAAAGTTGAAAAAAAAATTATTTCCCTTTTGGGACCCTGTCGAAAATTCCGGAATTTTGCACAGTTTTAGGTAACACCCTGTAGCGATCTTATGTGAAGAACCTCATGTTTTGAAGAAGTACGACATTATTGTAGAAGTACTCTTTAGGCTAGCCAATTCGAATTTTTCAAAGCAGAAGAAAGTTATCAACATTTTGAGATGCGACGAAATTAGTTTTGCGTAGTTTTAGAATAGCAATTCTATTATCCCCTATATAATACTGTCTCTGAGTGACACGATATTCCTTTGGTTGTCTGTATGCGCGAATAAGCTGGTGCAAATGAAATGTGAGTTCCCATTTACACAAGTGATTAATTAGAAGAGTAGTTTCACAGATGTTGATTGCAGAGAAAATGTTGACAAACATATTTGCTACACTATGTTTCCGATCAACTCGTACCTCTCGATTTGGATGAGAAATATTTATGAATAATTGAATAATCTTATAGGTAACAGCTCGGGTAACAGTGTCCTCTGCTGACACAAATACGAGATAAGAAATTCACTAGTAATCAGGTATTTCCAGGAAACTCCGAGAACACGAAGATTACGAAATATCTTTCAGGATCTGCAACACAAGTACATTGTTTTTAAAAAAAAGTGACCCGTTGCTAGGATATGTAGAACACGATACCTTCTAAATAAGTTAGATCCACTCAGTAAAACAGTTTCGTAACGGCATTTGGATTCTAGATAGGAGGTGTTGATGACAAATTTACGGAGGCGTAGAGGGGCCACCGCAATTATTTTTTATAATTCCGACTTATTATCTCGGAATTTCGACTTAGTATCTCGGAATTATATAATTCCGACTTAGTAACTTAGTATCTCGGAATTATGTAATTCCGACTTATTATGTCGGAATTCCGACTTAGTATCTCGGAATTATGTAATTCCGACTTATTATGTCGGAATTCCGACTTAGTATCTCGGAATTATATAATTCCGACTTATTATCTCAGAATTAGGACATTGCGGTGTTGTGACCATATAGTTAAGTGTTACATACCTATGTATGTACCTATACTGTAAGGACGACTCCCGAATAGCTAATTGTGAATAATCCATATACCTAATACATTTATCAATGATAATCTATATAGCGTGATGAAATTAATTCGAGAAACAACCCTGGTAGGAGCTCGAAATCAATGAAAGAATGCTATACTGTACGAATAGTATAGAATTCATTGCTCTAAATACGGTTTTCTGGTAAAACGGTGCTGTTATCTCTAGCGGCCGTGAAGTGGTTAAGCGACCGCGTCATTGATATTTCTCTAGTTTGTAACCATTGGTGATCCACAGTGATCCAGAGAGTGGTGAAGGGGGTAATAATCCCCCCTCCAAGCCTCGCCGAAATATCGATAGTTACTTTTTATGTTATTTCATATACAGAGACGTGCACAAAAATCATTCAGTCCTATATATCTTGTGAATCATTCGAGATATAGGATATTGAAATTTGGTGGGTAGCAAGTTTATCAAATTGATTATTCATTTTCTTCCTATTCCTCCCGGTTCAACCGGATGCAACCCCAACTTGATTTTTGAATTGGTCATCCTCTGTACCCATATTTTCCAATATTTGGATCCAGGGGATCGTTTTATTCGTTTTACACACATTAGAGATTTATTCATCAAAATGTCGAGATATATAGGGGAGAATTAATAGTTGGGGTAACTTCCGGTTGAACCAGAAGTGATATAATAAATAAATGTTCTGTCAATAAACGGCAATTTGATATACATGCTACCCGGTAAATTTCGAAATCCGACTTCGAATAATTCAGAAGTAACAGCACTCGCCGATTTTTGTGCATTGCTCTGGATAATTGAATATATATATTCGTATATATTATACTTTTTATATTCATCGCCTTCCTCCCCTAACCGATACCCTGGATCACAATTAGCTATTCGGGAGTCGTCCTTACAGTATAGGTACATATACATAGGTATGTAACATTTAACTATATGGTCACAACACCGCAATGTCCTTATTCCGAGATAATAAGTCGGAATTCCGACATGATAAGTCGGAATTATATAATTCCGAGATACTAAGTCGGAATTCCGACATAATAAGTCGGAATTATATATTTCCGAGATACTAAGTCGAAATTCCGTCATAATAAGTCGGAATTACATAATTCCGAGATACTAAGTCGGAATTATAAAAAATAATTGTGGTGGCCCCTCTACGCCTTCGTACAAATTTATACACATTTTTGACGATTATTCCATAACTTGCGAAATTTTAATCACATTTTGCATGAATATGTTTTGTAATCTGACACATCGCAAATTGACCAGAAACAGAAACAATGATACTATTCTAATGCTGAAATTATTGAATTATTGATTATACAATTGAGTAGAAGAAGATAATCAAGGTTTGACTAAAAAGTACTTAAGTGTTCAAAAAATGTCCTCTGTTTTTCACGAACACCCATTTCCATGTGAAGAATGCATTGATCTTCTAAACGGTGGAGAATCAACTATGAGGTCATCAAAGCGATGTTCAATTCTATCTTGCAACTCTTGACGAGGAGTGACCTCTGTTTATACACTTTTTCTTTAACATATAATCAAAACTGCATTTAGGGATCTATACCTTCGAAAGTCTGTATATAGCGCCCACAGGAAGAATTATTTTTGATATAGGAATGTTTTGCATTATGTTCAACTGCAGAATGCGACAGGTGCATGAATAAGTTGTAGTGGTCGATATTAACTCCAGAATCCATGATTTGGATTTCCTCATGCTACTTTCAGTCGAAATGTTCAATGGTTGGATACATGTTCATTATAAAATGATTATTATATTCCTGGAACCTGATTGCGAACACCTTCTCTTTTCTTGATATAAAGACACCACTATACTATACTAATTAGCGTTATACCTCAAAGTTTCCGAAAAGTTGATGAAAATATCAAATCGAGTTCAGAATAAAAGGGGCCCTCGAATCGAGTTAGGAAACCCATTAGAATTTGAATATTCCCTCCTAATTAGGAAACTTGATTCGCTTGCTACAGATTTTTGTATCACTGAATATAAATAGTTATTTTTGTATCTAGAGCGCGAAATTCAACTTTGGTGATCGAGATCCGAGTTTTTTAACGAGGCGTATAGAAATGTCAGGAAATAGTGTTCTAAAATGAGTAATATGCATAGCTCAAGGTGAGAAATAGCTTGAAGAACCTCAACTGTAAAATATTTAGAAATAAATGATTTCTTCGATTTTCTCTTGATTGACGACCATGAAGGTTAAAATTCAAAAAATCTCATATCGTTTCGACACAAAAAAATGCTTAATTTAAAAAATCCCGATTTTGAACACCCTATTGCTCTGTAATCATTGCCGCAAGATCTCAAGTGTGATGCATTGATGAAATCAGCTCTTTAGGGAGAATATAAAAATGCAAAGAAATAAAGGGTGTTCCATTTGAAATAACAAAGTTGTTGCTACTTTTCGTTAGAAGCGGCAACGCCGCAGAGCTGAAAATAATTTAGAACGATGTCCTGCTCGAGAAAGTAGTTGACGAGTTTCGGGATTTTTTATAAATATGTAGAGTAACAGAAATAATGAATGTATTCCATTTGGCTTTTACACACTGTACATAGTAACAGTATGATGCAAATGTATGGAATAAATTCATTATTTCAGGAATGGGCGACATTTGAAAAAATTCCAAAAACACGTGAGTTTCAATTTCTGAAGCCTCATCTCATGATATTCATATGAGAGATGTTACGTCACCGGTGTTGGAGTAAAGACGTAATGGACGATTTTTTCAAATACAAATAGGGGTCATGTGACACCTTGATTGAAAGGTCTACCGATCGTCTATTCAACATTCAAAATGTTGCATAAAAAGATTGAAATTAAAATGGATTATCATGTGATTAATTGTGCTACTGAGAATTGAACATCGAAGGGTCGTATAGTTGAAAAAATACGTCGAAAAAAAAGTTCTAAACTCTAGTTTTTGTTTTTTTTTTTCGAAAGTCGTCTTGTTTTGAAATGAATTTATTCCATACATTTGCATCATACTGTATATGAAGTTATAATTATATACACTCCTGAACTCACAATTATGATGTTTATTACTTCTAGAGAAGCAATAATTGTTATTTCCTTCTGGTGGTGTTGAAGTATCATTGATCCCTGATGTGTATATGTCCCCTGAATAAATGATTTTTTTTGTGATGTATTTAAAATTTATCATTGAGATATTTGAATTTTCCTTTGGAAAGTGTCAAATTCAATAACTTGTATCTCAATGGGGAACCCTTTTATAGCATATGCCCTTAGAAGGATTTAACAGAATCTCATTATAAGTTCTTTATCGATTCCTGGATTATTTGTCAATATAACTTGATGACCCTTTTGGAAAGTAGGATGTAGTTGGAAAATCCAGGAATATTAGATGCCTTTCCAGCCAGTCATTGAACACTTGTACAGTCAGATAATATACAGGTAGATTTGGAAAATTCATACTTTTTAGAATCCTTCTATAGGTATATACGATGTAATTAGAAATACTGTTGCGCTAAGAACTATAATACGTCTGAGAGGGAATATTGAGCAGAATATAGTATGGCGTATTCAAAGTTTTTTTCGGGGTATGGTTCTGGAGATACGAAATAAAGCCATATATTTTTCAATGGAACCCTGTATTTTCTTATCTGGTTGAATTCGTTATTTTTTCCAATCAAAATGATATACAGGGTGTCCTTGAAAGGTCTGTACAAAATCTCAGCACATAGTCCTGAGGTCAAAATGAGCCGATTGAAAGCAACTAACTTCAGTCCGAAATTGCCCTGTTTGCGAGATACAGGGTGGTCAAATTAAAATATAAAAATCGGCAAGCACACTCCAAAACAGTGTTTTAAGAAATCAATTTTTGCACTGCTCATTCACTGACCAAACTACATTCACCAAGATAACAGATGAAATTTTTTATAGAAAACAATTTTAATATTCCGGTGCGGCATCGAACTTTGAAACTTGAAATATCTCGAGAACGGCTCAATTTAGCAAATTTTTAAAAAATCACCTTTTTTGCTTGAAATTATTCCGAAAAACATTTCCCTGACAAAAAGTGAAAAACTACACTGAGAAAAAAGATATGACCATTCCATACCATGCGAAGTGCATTTGTAAGCGCCCTCTATTGACCCAAGGGAAAAGGTGTTGTATTCGGGTTAAGTTTTCCAAAAAGCCCCCAGCTACCAATTTTTGGAGTGATACGTTTAAAAATGTTCAAACAGTTCGACAAATTCGATTTTTATTTTTTAACGTCACCATCCTGTATCTCGGAAATGGAGCAATTTCAGACTGGGGTGAGTTACCTTCCAGGGACACCCTGTATAATACTATACAGGATGTCCCTTATTGATACGCTAATATTCAAGGGGGCGATTTTTCAACTCATTTCGAGAATTCCTTCACTTCACTTCACTTCACATGAACATATCTCGTATACGTCCTAACTTTTGAGATACAGGGTGTCAATGTCGAAAATATGCATAGATTCTGTTTTTGTCCACTCTGTATCTTTTCGTAATGGCAAAATTCAGTCTGCTATGTGACTGAATCGGTATAAAAATATCAAAATGTTACATATTGTGGTTATTCAGTAATGGATGTCCTGAATGGAGTACTCGGACATCAAAATTTGAAGTCTGGTCTCGTTTTTTCGTTTTTTCTCTGAAACGAAGTGTTCTATCGAGAATCAACAGGAGGATTTTTTTTCCTCTTCATAGTTTAGTGATATAAGATTGTGGTGAACATGTGAACTCAACCATGACAAACTTCAAGTTGGCGTTTAGTGTCTTTCACGGTTGAGTGAACATATACCTAGTATATAAGTAGCACAATAGAATCGAATATTTAGTTTCAAACTTCTAATGGAGAGAAACACGTGTCGAGGCGTATAAAAAATCGGTTTGGTTAGTGGTAAAACATTGTAGTGACTCTTGTATCTGTTAGATTAAAAAAAAGCTCAGTCCAACACAAATATTTCGAGCATAAATAATTTGTTGATGCAACAAATCCTTTTTTTTTTCGTGCAGAGATGTTCGAGAACCAGATCATGCACATCCTGAACAAGGTGCACGCCAGTATCGGAAAGAACGAGCAGCGGCTGCTGGAGCAGGACAGGCGCGAGCTAACGGAGCTCGAGTGGAAGCAGACCTCGATCGTGCTGGACAGGGTGTTGCTGGGGATCTTCCTGCTCATCACCATCATCAGCACCACGACGATACTCTGCCGCAGTCCGCAGGAGCCGACGTGAAGCGCAAGAATACGAGCGATGATAGGTGTCATAGAAAGAAGTCAAGTGTGGGCCAGTTGGCAAATTTGTGAAGGCGTTATACAGATAAAGTTATGTAGATTAAGTGATTTAATTTCACCAATGACAAGATTTCCACAGTCTATTCAATATTAAGCTACCGACATATAGAAAAGAACATTTTATCACAGGATCTTCCTTTCATTTACCTCCATCCACGTTGATTGTAGATGAAAGTCATCAAGGGGGATGTATGTATGCATGTATGTATGTACCTATGTATCATGGATGAATGTATGCTTGAGAGATGGATAGACTGCTATCTGAGAAATCAATCGTGTCCATTCTTTAATTGCCACCCACTGAGATATAAATAGATAGATATAGATAGTGTCTCCTCTTCTCTACCAAAATTGCGTTCATCTTCTTCCCCTCATCCTGGTGTTATTCCAACGGAGTTTGTTCTTGCTGAGGTTGACACATGCGTCTGACCTCAGGTGGTCCTATATCATCTCCCAGTAATATCCCAGCTTGACTACTTGTTTTTTCTAAGGTGCTTTGATTCCTGCCAAGAAGTTTCTGATCTCAACAAAGTATGTTTGAAGTCCTTTTCCAGCGAGTTTGTCCACCACCTCATTTCGCTCTACTTTGAATCACTTAGAAGGGTGACTGTGTTTCTGTTAGCTATCTCGTTCAGTTTTCTCCGGTATTTCCAAACCATTTCGGAGCTGATGATTAGGATAGACAAGCCCAAGCTGACAAAGCTCGAGTGGAAGTTGATCTCGTTCGTGCTGGATATCTTCCTGCTCATCACCATCATCAGCACCATGACGATTAGATTTTTAGATTTAGAATGGGGCCTTCGGGCTATCTGCCTCCACACCGCGACCTTTTCAGATCTATTGTGTCTGCCCTCAGAATCGATTAGAGTTCTTCGGCTAGCCCCACCTTCTCTATGAGACTCCATAGGCTAGCTTTCAGATCCCCTGTGTATCTTTGGGCTTGTGGTTCTTCCTCTCCCAGCGTAAGGAACCTTAGTATTGACAAGCCCTCACAGTGGCAAAGTATGTGTACTGCTGTTTCCTCTTCTTCCTGACAGGACTTGCACATGCAGCAGTTCTTCAGTCAGGCCTATCGTACTGATGTGTTTGTTGAGCCTACAATGCCCTGTGAGAAGTCCTACTAGTATTCTAGATGAACTTCGTTTCTGCCGATGATTTGTAAATGAACTCTTTTGCCTGTCTCATTCCTGGCGATACTATGCCGCAGTCCGCGGGAGCTGATGTGAAGCGAAAGAATACGAGCGATGATATGTGTCATGGAGAAGAGTCAAGTGTGGGCCAGTTGGCAAATTTTAAGTGATTCAATTCCAGGAATGACCAGATTTCCACAGTCTATTCAATATTTAGCTACCGACATATTGAAAAGAAAATTTCATTTCAGTATCTTCCTTTCATTAACCTCCATCCACGTTGATTGTAGGAGAAAGTAATCGAGGTGTATGTGAATGAATAATGTATGCTCGAGAGATTGATACACTGCTATCTGAAAAATCAATAGTGCCCAATATTGTATTGCCATATATACCCAGCCAATGAAGTCCCGTATTCTTATAATCTCTTAATGGTCTCTGATCTAAGAGGCAATTGGTCAATACATTGGAGGTGTTCTCAGTAGCTGGCTCAGTGTCTCCCTAGTCAGTCTAACTGTTAATTTTCTATTATGTCTGCTCACTGTGCTCCAAAGTTTTTCGCCTTTGGATATTGTAAGGTGAATAGAGATTGTCTCCTCTTCTCTACGAATATTGCGTTCATCTTCTTCCTCTTATCCCGGCTTCCTGAAAGGTGTTTTTCAAACAGAATTTTTCTTTCGTGGTTTTGAAATAATATAGTCTCCCAGTAGTACGCAAGCTTGACTTCTTGTTTCTGGTGATATAGAACGACTGCTACAAATCCTGCCAGCAAGTTTCTGATCAAGAAGGGTGCTTGAACTCTTTTCTCAGCTAGTTTATCTGCTACTCCATTTTTCCCGACTCTAGAACCCATAGAAGGGTGATTGAGTTTCTGTTGGCCAGCTCGTTTTTTTCCAGCATATTTCGAAGTCTGCTCCTAAGATTGCTAATAGCTCCTATGATCCTGCTAACTTGCCCCCAATAACTTTCCACATACACAAAGGCATTCGAGCGAGCGAAACAAAAAATTTCCTGATCCAATTATCCTCCCTCGGAATAACATACTGTTATCGGATTTTTACTCTTTTTCGAATATTTTGGAGTTGAGAGAGGCGGTAACAATTGAATTCCATCATGTATTTCTCAATTCTCCACAGACAATTTGATATTCAATTTCTAGTACATATATGAATTTTGGTGTTATAAAATTAAATAAAGACGAATTTTCAAGAGTTCAATTCTGGTATTATACGAATACTGAACTTGATACTAAGCAGATTTCAAAAATCGATATTCATATTTGTATTTATGCAGAGTGTCCCGCAATCAGTCTGCCAAACATCACCAGCGGCTTTTACGTCCAAAAATAGGAAATTTTCATGAACATGAGCCAATAAATATCTCCTAAGGGAGCTACGGCCCCCTGGGAGGGGGCTCCTGAAGATAACATTTGGTGAATATTTCGGAAAGCTTTTACTCGATAATGATATATCTGATCGTTAGGAAAAAGAAGTACCTTCTTATGTGAAGAGGTGTGGATTTCCATATTCCAAGATCGCGAATTGTCGAAAAATATACAATAAAAAAATTTTTGAGCAATATTTAATGTAGTTCCACCCTGAATGAAATTTTGAAATGATTTTATTTTCACTACATTGGGCATGAAAAGTATAGTTCTTGTACCAATTCGCATCTTTTTATCACATTGATTTTCGAAAATACTCAAGAAATATCATCTTCAGTGCCCCCTTTCAGGGGGCTGTAGCTCATCTCCATTTCTCGTCCCATGTTCATTGAAACTTTTCACCTATTTTTTATCGTAGAAGTCGCTGGTGAAGTTTGGCAGGCAAATTTCGGGCCTACAGATAATTATACAGGGTGTTTCAGAGTTGTGCTTACAGAAGCCTAGGGGAAGCGAGTATCTGATTTTATGTCTTATTTCCATAAATAATAATGTACAAAAAATGTTTGAATAATACCTATCTAAGCATTTTTAAAATTTTCCTTATGGAGTTCAAAGATATGCCAAGGTATGGTATTGTTTTTCTCGAAAACGAAGCAAGATACAAAAAAATAGTGGTAGACAGAAATGTTATACTTTTGATGAGTTCATCTGAATATTCAAGAAGAACCAAAAAAAAAGAGTGACTATTTTTTCCACAAATAAGGCCGACTTGCTCGATGGGTACGTCGTACTGCATTTTTCAGTTTACAGTATTAGAAGTATTATAGGGTTATTACCTCGGATATTACTAGCAAAAATTGATATCTCAGAAACGAAACATAAAAAATCGAAAAACTTTTTACATATGATAGTCAACATATTCAAAATAGTGTGTGTTAAATGAGAACCAAATTAACGGAACTGTTTTCGAGATATTCAATTGAAACATGTTAAATAATCTTCAACAAAATCTAACACACCCTGTATCTAAATGAAAGGCAATATTGAACAACTGAATTCGCTAGTAAGTTTCCTCAGCTTTCATTCAATCAACAGTATCAATCAATTCCTTTTTTTGTGATCAAAAACAAGCTTTCAATTGTTTTCAAAAAGGGGTATAACATAAAATTCTAAAAATTCATATTTCGAACAGAGATATTTATCAAGAATCAAAATACGTTTTCGAAGCCTACAATAAACTGAAACTATACTATCTCACCAAAATATAACTTGTTGGTTTTGGAATAGTGCTCGAATTTTTTTCCCGAAAAATGAATTTTTTGACCGTGCCTCGTATACACCCTGATTTACTATAATTTATGTGATCATAACTAGACATGTATTCGAGTTCCAATCAATACATTTTCTAGCTTATTTTGTCTTATTTATACTAAAAAAAAACAGTTTTTTTCTTCGTCAATCCTACCCCGAACCCCGATACGACGTTTTCACGAACTTTGTAGGCTTATATCCCAGAAACTAAACATACAAAACTTTTCAAACTCACATATTTTTCGAATGAGCCATCCCACAATAACATAGTTGAATTTCAGCCAATTTACCGTGTTTTCGTGCGGGGTCCTTTCAACAGAATTGGGTAGAGGAATTCGAGAAAGTTTACAAAACCAGAAGATTTCGAATTATATCGAGTTTTTGTCTCATAATCACTCGAACTCTGATAATATGTATATTTTTTAGCTGTTAGGCTAGAACTGAGTTATCAAACATCTTCTGGAAATCGTATCATTAGTGAAGTTTTGTCGAAAACTGATATGGGTTCATATCATGTGATTGCAAAAATAATAAAAAAAAAGAATATTCACGTTTTTTCATTCCAAATAATTTACCCATGATGAATGACATAGTTATCATTATTTTGTTGGAATTCCGGAGTTCTCATAAGAATTTTATATTCTAAGCACCTACATTATAACATTGCGAATATCCACAACTATAGTTGATAATTTATCCGTCATTATCACTGCCATTCAAATTCCATACCCACAAATCCACGAAATCCACAATAACAAAGCATGTCTTCATAGGAATTCTCATTGTCGAAAATTCCTCATCGAATTTTGTTTAAATAAGGAGTTTTCCACGTCGCGTTGTGGGTATAAATTTCGGCCGATAACCGAATTCGACAATAGACAAGAACACAAATGTTTCAATTCAATTCAAATTTTAATATAACTGAAATATGAAAGTGAAAGAACATGGCTACATCAATTTTTTTATGAAATATGCTGCAATAGGTACTCTAAAAAACACCATTTCCGCTGCCATCTAGTCTACAGTACTGACATCATAATCCTTTTTCCTGTGTTGTCAGCTGTTTCATTAAAAGGAAATACCACGTGAATATTTCTGAATCTTCGAATCGATCCAACTATCAACTGTTGAGATGATTCATCTATTTTCATTGATGTAGTAAATGTCACCAATATAGGTTTGACTCTCATTGCCGAGCTCATTGCCAATTCGACTTGTTTATATGCCCTAATAACACACTTATGTCTCATGGATATCCTTAGGACGTCCTGTCGGGACATTCAGGACGTCCATAGGACGTTCGAATTTGGTACCGTGAACGTCCATTGGACGTCTGTGGGACGCACAAATGTCCCACTTGGGGACCAACTAGGGACGTCCATGAGGAATGTCCCTGGGACAACTATCGAATACCTAAATCCTACAGTATACTTCATCGAGCACTACAGAGGACATCCTTAGGACATCCATAGGACAACCTATCAGCAACGCTTGGATGTCCATAGGATGTCCCAGGAAAGTACAAATTATTCTTGAATTTGAATCTTTCTGGGTCCCTCTAGGACCAGATCCTGCATAACTGATCAGGACATCTAGTTGAGTTGATGGTCCGTAGAAGGTCACCAAAAAGTTTCCCACGGATGTCCAATGGACTTACGTAAAGGACATTGACGAGGAGTACTCATAGCCTACGAGCAATCATTTGTCGGCGGGGTGTAAGTAAACGTCCTCGCAGGGACAAAATATTGAAAGTAGCGACTGGGACGTCCATAGGACGTTATTTCTAGGACTTTGGAAGAGTACAGTTCATGTACCAATTGGGACATCCGAAGGATATCCCTAAGGGACATTCGAAGGATGTCCCTAAGGGACATTTCGATTGTTTTACGATCCTGGAAATATTAAGGGCTGTGCAGAGATATTTGAAGAAATGTACCATCAGGGGCATTTCATGGTTGTCTAGAAGGGACATTATATAAGATCTGAAGCCATGCCAGAATATGTACTACTCGGGACATCTGATGGATGTTCCTAAAGGAACGTTTAAAATCATATCCCATCAGGGACTTGCCAAGGACGTCCTTGCATGGATTCTACAATATGTACCACGTGGGACGTCTTAGGGATGCTATTTCTAGGACATTTGAAATGATGTACCAGCTGGGACATTCCGTGGACGTCCTTGCTTGGACATTGCATGAGATGTACGGGATGGGACGTCCCAAGGACACTTATTTTTGGTTCGGGACATTCGAGTAGGTTGATTCCTCAATTAACGTTCACACCAAAGAACTCATAATCTTTATATCTGACGACTGATATGCCTATCCAATATGGCGGACGAACAAATGATACATCAGCTGCAACACTGTAAACGAACCATTTTTGTCATAGTTCATGATTTCACTGTATCAAATCACTAAGTTCATTTCAAAAGATTTTCCCTACTACAAATAGAGACTGAAAAGATTCGCCAATATAAACTTATATATTATTATAATTTAACTGACTATAGAATTCACATTTCAATAACCATATTTCACTTCATTTTTCATTGTACTGGAATCTGAAGAGGAATGTTTCATTGGGCTGAAAAATATACGGAAGTTACAACAAATCACTCATAGAGATTAACATACAATTATACCCCAAATCGAATGGCCTCTTCCTGAGGCTGCTCTCATGAAAACTTCTCGAAGAGCTTCTAGAATCAATTTCTGATGGATCAAAAAGGAACTATTCATCATCTAATGGTATCCCAAAATAATGTGAATTACTAATTTCGATAAAGTCAATAAAAGTGGAAAATCATAATATTCGTAAAAAACCCAGCTGAATTTCTTCTTCTTTATAAGTGCCAAAATAGCGTGACAACGCGTTTTCGAGCACCTGATTTTCATACATTTCCCAGACCGATAAAGGGCCCTTCTACAGGTTTCAGCTGAGGGCATCAAATGGTCCCTGTACAATGGTATTGGCAACATTGCCATTGGGTGTATAGCATACGACAAATGACTGACGTATGACAAATGATATGACGTTAGTTTATAGTTTGGAAATAAGTGAAGTAGTTATCAATCATAAAAGTAACTTGATATCATATACGTATTAATAAACAATACGGATCATAACGGGTGTCAGGATGAAGCCAAAAATATGAAACAAATGAATATCCATGAGGATTTGGTGGCATGATACGCATGCGCCATGCGCTATTATAGTAGTCATCAAAGACATGCGTTTCGGTGGACAATGACGTTTACTAGCCTTTCAATCAAAGCAGTATGTGTGTGATCGTTTCAAAACTTTTCCTTATGGATAGTCATTTGTCTTCAAAAATCGGCTTCATGTTTCGCTATGGAAACAGATAGAGATTATCCGTTTTGATTATTAATACGTATATGCTTGATATACCCAAGCTCAAATTCAATATACAGGGTGTCTGTAAAAAATTGGGACATGGCTCGGCTGTGGACTCCTAGAATAAAAACAAGTTGATTTAGGCCGACTTATCGACATCCAGAATCATCTCGTTGAGTTGGTACAAGGCGTTAAAGTTTTTTCGGGAATAAATAATTTTGCTCATAAAAGGAGTAGGCTGAGATCGATTTTCATAATTTTTGGCATGGCATGTTCTGTGATTGTAAGTCATGTTTTGAGATGTCTTTGATCATCATCAATGACCTGCAAGTGTTTTAAACAACCATGTTGCCGTACAAATTAGGTGATAAGAAAGATATTCCCTTCAGAAATATTTTTTGTATCGTGTTAAGTCTCGAGGTTCATTTGCAAATGAATAATTCTTGATCTGAGGCATCTTATGCATTTTTTAGAAAAATGATCTGGTTGGGATATGGCTTGAATGTAGACACCTGGGCTTAAAATAAGTTGATTTTTGCCAACTTACATATATCCGAAATCGTTTCGTTGAGTTGGTACAAGGCGTTAAAGTGCTCACCTTAGGTACTGAATAGTTATCGCTAGATTTGTAACGCGAGAGTTCTTGTAAAGCCCGCGAGGACCAGCAACATATCAGTTTGCTTACAATAAGAATACATTGTAGCCATGTTCAATAAACAGTCCGACTAATCAGATTAATTTTCAAAAATGCGCAGGATGCATAAAATCAGAAATTATTTATTTGCAAATGAACCTGATGGAGACTTTTCAAAAATCAACACGACACAAGAAATATTTCTGAAGGGGATATCTTACTGGAAAAAAAACTGCAAGTTTCCAGTCTGACCTCTGAAAAGTTATCACCAAATTTGTACGGCAACATGGTTGTTTGAAACACTTGCAAGTCACTGATGATGATCAAAAACATCTCAAAACGTGACTTACAGTCACAGAACATGCCATGCCAAAAATTATGAAAATCGATCTCAGCCTACTCTTTTTATGAGCAAAATCATTTTTTTCCAAAAAAACTTCAACGCCTTGTACCAACTCTATAAGACGATTTTGGATATCTGTAAGTTGGCCTAAATCGACTTGTTTTTATCTCAGGAGTCCACAGCCGAGCCATGTCCCAACTTTTTACAGACACCCTGTATAAACATCCAGAACAGTCCCAGTCTGGGCCTGAACGTCATAGTATTTGTTCTAGAAACTAGTGTCCCTGCCTATCCTGTATAACATGTTCATGAATAACGAGCTCAGTCCTTCCTTCTTAACCTGTTGCTGCTCTTCTCCATCGAGCTGATCCAGTCCTGGAACTCCGCGGGAGGCTCAGGGCGGTACGAAACGTCCCTGCCGGTCAGCTTGGCCATGACCTGGGGCACATCCATGCCGATGGTGCCCTGCTTGCTCAGCACCACGGCCCTCACGAACCCGTCGCTGAGGGTCACGAACTGGTGTTCGATATACAGAGCCTTTTCCTCCCAGTAGATGACCTGGAATAGTTATTTAACCAACATGTCTCATCAGAAGTGTGGAAAATGTTTGAGAAAGCATGTACACAATTTCGACTGACATTTTGATCAAAATTTGAGTTGTTGATGGAACTAATCGTACATTTTTATTTTGACGAGAATCTTCACTAAATGGAATTTTATACACAGAGTTATTTTCGAAAAACCGGCAACAGATTAAAAAAAAACGTTTATTAAGTTTACTGGACAAGGTATAAGGTCAAGATCGTTAAAAAAATGAATTACACATGTATTTATGATGTCGGTTGATCTTAAGAGACGAAATAAGAATATCCTGAACTCGCTGCTTTCCGGGAAACGGAATTTACCTAGAAGGATTAGGCATAATTTGTAATTTGTAATTTGTTCTATCCGTCATTCGGTTGCCCCCTTACGAGCAACCCTCAAAAGTCTTCGAAAGTCTTGTGCGAGCAAGGAATGGCGGGGGCCTTACCTTTTAACGTGTGATCCCAAACACTTTCTTGGGCCATCAGAAAAATTTCTGCAGTCGACGGGGATCGAACCCACGACCGGCAAGCGAATGCGAATTAGAATATAGACACTCTGTCCGCACGGCTACCTGGCCACATAAGGGAGAGCTACGCTCTTGGAAAGTATACCACAGTTTTCCAGGCCGAGGTCTTTGCCATTCTGGCAGTAGCGGAGAGGCATGAGGTGAAAGAGGGACCAGAGCAGAAGATTTACATCTGCTCGGATAGTCAGGCGGCTCTCAGGGCTGTCTGCCATCCTAAACCAAGCTCAGCTTTGGTGCAGGAATGTGGCGATGCTCTTGAAACTAGCTGAACAGAAGGAAGTCGAACTAGTATGGGTTCCGGGGCACAGGGGGGTGCCCGGGAACGAGGTGGCCGACGAGCTGGCTAGAATCGGATCCGCGACACCGTTCTGGGGACCGGAGCCTGCACTGGGCATAACAAGAAGCCAAACTCCGTCTACCCTTAACAAATGGGCGGACGAGGCACTAGAAGTATATTGGAGGCGTATAGGCGGCTGCAGGCAATCGAGAGACCTGGTGGCTGGTCCAAGCAAGCCAAGGACGGCTTGGTTACTGGGCAGGGATCGCCAAGTTCTGCGCCTTCTTATAGGGATACTGACAGGGCACAACAGGTTACGCAGACACCTATCACTCATAGGTGTGGAAGATAGTCCCACTTGCCGTGAATGCGGAGAAGATGAGGAGACATCACTTCACTTCCTCGGAGAGTGTGAGGCGTATGGAAGGATGAGATTCGAAATCTTTGGAGTAGATAAACTACAACAGGAAGATTTGGTCGAATTAGAGTGGACGGACATCCTGACCTTCATCAGAAGGACGGGAAGGTTCGAGAAGGACAACTAAAAGAGGGATGTGTAGATATGTGGAGAGCAGGGGTTGGCAAAAAGGGCCCATGGGGGCCTACTTGCCTGGCTACAGCCTCCCCACAAAACTACTACTTTTACTTCCGGGAAACGGCTCGGGAAGGGTTTTACCTAGTTCGGTACCATGGTACCTCTTAATGTAAAACTATCGTGTACGAGTTGGTTACAATTTTTTTCCGTCTACTATACGTGTGACCAAGATAAGGTTGCACAGCATGGGGGATCTCGGAAATGGATATACGAAATCGGTTAAATGGTAAAAAAGTTGCGAGTCTTACCGACGGTCTTCGAAAATTTTCAAGTTTTTCGACAATTTCGAAAATAGTGAATTTTTGGAGAATCTATCTCATTTTTTGCTACACTATTATTGGAGATACAGAAAAACTGAAAATAATTTTTTATAGCGACTATTGATGAGATCGATAACATTGATTCCTCTCCGCGACCATTCCTATAAGTGGAACCATCAACTTTTTTTGGGAATACGGTCCTGATTATGTGTTCAAAGATTCTGGAATCTCATTTCATTCTGAATTCAACCATTTGATTGTATTTCGATTCAGCTTTAGCCATCATCAATATTTTTCGAAATTCCAAAGGGGAAATATTATCAGTTCCACTTATTTCTGATCATTCGGTGTTAAACAGTGACGTCGATATTTAATACTGAAGAGTATCAAAAAATATTTCATTTTCAATGCAAATTTCGTTAACACGAGTTATCGTGAAAATAGTTCATTAGTCTGATGATCGTTGATTCTGTACCTTTGTTGTAATTTTGTAAGTGCTGAACATGGGGATTGGCTTTCTGTATCGGATGTTGGTAGCGGATTGTAGCACGTGGGCATTGATTTTCCTGAATTCGTCGTAGAGTCCGGTCCTGTCGTAGAAGTGGAACCTTGCAAAATCCAGTTCTCTGATGTACCGAGCGTTGCTCAAGTTCCTTATGAAAATGTCCATGTCTTGGGTTGTAGCGATACCTGAGAAAAATTGATGATAATGTGATATACTTATGCACAGGGTTAGACAATTGTGTGTCAGAGTCTGATTCTTCGAGTGCTATGGTAGCTATATATAGAAACAATAATTATTATTGCCGGGTGTAAATTTGAAAACTACCAATGCGGATATCTCGCAAAAGTTAGTAATTCGTCGTTTGGCAAGAATTCTAAAGATGAGTTAGGGGGAACTAGAACCACCATATTTCAGTGAAGGGATGTTTATTTTCCTTTCTGAATTATGTTTCTAGCTATCATAGGACTCGAGCAATCGATATCTGACGCAATATTAGACCAATGAATCTTGTAACTCCATCGATTTTTCCTTACAAACAAATTAATTTTTTAAATTTTCTATAGTAATTTTGGACTCATCATGCATGTAATGGTTTTTTTTTTCAAAAAAAGTTTTTGTTACCTACGTATTTTTATCTGTAAAACACGAAATCGATAATGAAAAAAGGAACAAACCACTATACTTACCGAGATATTTGATGAAAAATTCGGAATTTCGCCTTCTTTTTCCCTGTTTTGGTTGCATTTACAGCTACTTGCTCTTCTTATTTTGTCATTAGACACTTTATATACATATGATGTACTTCAATGACATATTTTCAAATATAAACGAAATATGTTTTTTATGGCGAGTTCTTCATATATACCAGATGACGCTCATTTAATCAATAATTAATTATTATTTTAAATTATATTCTTCCTTCTTTTCATTAAATTGATAGATCACAAGGAAATCATATTTCTAGTTTACTTTCATATATCAATAAAAAATGTGTCATTGGAGTACATTGTGATATATAAATTGTCTAATGATGAAAAGAGGAGGGCAAATAAATTGTTCTAAATGCGATCCATCAAGAGACAGACGAAAAAAAAAAGGCGAAATTTGTGACTTCATATTGAAATATCTCAATGAATAATGGTTTGTTCACATTTTCATTATCAGATTCGTGTTTTTCAAACAAAAATACGTAGGTATCAAAAAAAATTTTCGGAGAAAATCTTTAAAAGTGCAAAATTACCTTTCCTATTTCTTTTCTTTGATTCTTTACCATGAAGTATTTTGTATTAGGTAGTTTTATTCTAGCTCGCCGATATCAGAAACATTATTACGGAAACTCTGTTGAGATCAATTATAACAAATTATGAATTTGAGAATGTGTTATTCGCATATCCGGTGATTGTACTCGATGCAATGAATGTCGTAGTTATTGTTCAAATACTGAATGTCAATTTGAATGTCAAAGGAATGAGTCAAAGATCGTTTCGGCTATTTTGATAAACAGGTTTAACTGCAATAATAAAATAGTCGATTGAACCATTGTCGTTCTAGATGACAACCTAGTTATAGGTAGTTGGTAGGCAAGAGTTTCTTACGAAAAACAAATCAATAGGAACTTTTATTCTCCGAATATAATCTTTCATCGATTGTCAAAGTTCTGCTACTATGAAGTGGACCACCCTGTATATCTCAAGCATTTATCTGTCGCTCCTTACCATAAATTTCTGTACTTTCATCAAATGTCTTCCTTTTCTCGAATAGTCTTCCCCATCCAATGGTGAATGCGAGCCTCAGAAAATGATTTACATCGAAAAATACGTATAGTAGGACAATAATGGTCATCAAAACTGCCCACACCGAATGGCAAGTTGCCAAAGGGTTGCTCTCTTCACCCATTATATTTTTCACTAAGTATATGAACTAAGTACCATTGACTACCAGGGAATAGAAATTACCACGAAATGTAAGTAGTTCGCACGGCGTTTCGACTACCTAGTACCTACCTACTGAAGTTTTGTTACTTGAAATGTAAAAATGCTGCTTTCACCTATACCACTTTAATGACCATTTATACTCTACCAATGGCTACATTTACACATTCATGTAAGACGGTCTACCTACTTTGATAGTCAATGAAGAGAGCTAGTGAAATGATTTTGTTTCATTCTTAAACTTCACACTAATGCTTTAATTTCCATTATTTTTCTGAATGCTGTTAATGTCTCAAAATCATGCACAAATGAAGTCACAGTTTCATTAAAACTGTCGAAACTGTCACACATAGTATACTGACGTCACGACTCGATAGTGAATCACATGGTTGCTAAATGCCAAAATACATCCGGAAATAATAACAATTGTCTGGCTATATGAACAATCATAAATCATGATTTACTTATTGCTCTACTAATATATGAGGAAAGATTTCTATACTTGTTGAAAAAAGTTGTTATTTTTCATTTTCGCTATTCCAAACCATGATTCTAGTAATTCTGAACCAAATAACAGAAAGAATATAGTTTTGCAATTATGATAATAATATTATTCACCCACGACTGTTTTTTCAGAACAGTGAATTTATAGCAGTGAATATTGGCCTAGAGACGATTTCACCAAATTCTGAACATTTCTCAAAAAAAAAATGTTTTTTCTTCTGCTGATGTTGATGATTTCAACGCAATATGAATTCATTTTCTAGGATGTGTTCCGTCGTATAGAGTGGCAAAATACGTTGAATGTGGCTTGCATAATTTTAAAATCGAAAATGATGCGATAAAAACCAAAAAATTATAAATTATCGATTTTGAACATCCTGTATGAGGAATATGGAAAATTACAAAACCGTTTCGAGATATTGGCTTAAACGTTCGAAAAAAATGATTAGTAGAGAAATAAAAAACATTCCCTGGAATACGGAGGCGTTTGAATTCTCTCATTTTTGTAATACTTTTTTCGAACACTTGGTGTACAATGACAGAAAAACTCCCGACGAGTTTTGAACGGGGAATCTTAAACAGAATGATCGCATCTTCCAAGCATTGCATTCCGATTGGAAATCCCTTCATTTTCTAAAGAAATATGGCAGTTTGAAAATTGTCAAATATTTGAGTGGTCCACTTGTTTCTTTGAGCACTTTATATGCTTGTTGAATAATATCCTATTAGTGAGGGTTGGGGGTTGCTGGGCTGTGTGCACGTGAATATATACCAAAGAAGGGAAGATTTGTATTTCGTGCAAAATAATTTATTCAATATTTGTAGCAGAGCGCTTTCGACTGTTAAGTCATCATCAGTGCGTACCTGTAAGTAAGTAAACTGCTTTTAGCTATTCGAAAGAAATTGAAAATTCGAAAAAAAATTTGAAAAATATTTTGGAAAAATTTTTGGAAATTTGCTTAATATTGAAAAGTGAAATTTAAAAAAAATAATAATAAATAATAAATATGCTGTATTGTCGGACAGAGCCATCATTCTCGATCTCCTATAGGAATGAAATCAATGTAGGAGAAGGTGAGTTTATATAGATATACGTTGTCATACTTGTCATTAAGGATTTTCGTCATTGAAATCCTAAAAAATTAAAATTTCATGACACTCTATCTATGCAGGATGTATTTTTTCCGAACTTACAAAATTGGAATGAACTTTATCAAAATCGGTTGAGCAACTCCGAGTTAACTAACTGCATTCAATTATACCTATTATACCTATATACAGGGTGTTTCATAATTGAATGTCAATATTCGAGGAGACGATTCTTGGGCTCATTCTAAGAAGAAAGTTTCATATGAACGTATGACCTAAACGTCCCAACTTTTGAGATACAGGGTGGTAAAATTCTCGAAAATTAATATAGCCTACTACAATGAGAAGTTATAATTCGAAAATACCAAATACGAATACAAAGTTCATGAACTATGAATTGTATTTCTGAAATTTGATCTCAAAAATAAAAACTATTTCTCTGCATTGTGATATTATCATATTAACAATATTACTATAATCATGTAGTGAAAAGCTTTTTATTATTAAGCGAAAACCGTGCATCAGATTGAAAAAATTGTAGTGATCAAATTTGCTTAGAAATGATCGGGAATTTCAGGAATGATTTCAATTTGGAGATTAATCAGTGGCGTACCATCAATGTCTGCCAAAATAGGTATGTGAAATTCCATACGAACGCCACTGGTGGCAACAACAAAAAATGTGGTACGCTAACTGATGCCTCTTGATACATAGTACATGTATGCCAAATTTCATCAGAATATCTGAAGTGGTATTACAGATATTAATAAAAAACTATTAATTTTTGGGAACTTTACCACCCTGTATCTCAAAAGTTAGGATGTTTAGGTCATACGTTCATATGAAACTTTCTTCTTAGAATGGGCCCAAGAATTGCGTCCCCAAATATTGACATTCAATTATGAAACACCCTGTATACACCGTGTCCCAGATATTTTCACTCTCAATTTCTTTCAATCAGGAATGAAGAGTTGAAAATCTTCCAGATCTGTCGTCGATTCTCATTTGGAGAAGAGATAACCATTGTAAATGAGTTCACTCTGAAAATAAAATTCAGTTGGTCTCTATCGCTGGCCGATTTCCAATCAATTGATTTCAACAAATATAATATTCTCTTTGATTGGATGTATGACACATTGAGTGGAAAGAAATTCTGTATAGAATAGAAAAATAACAAGTTTCCATCGTTCAGGTTTGAACCCCGCCTGATTGGGTATGAAAGTAACGGAATATTCTCAGATATATTATGATATATTATTAGATTTCTGCATGTGTAAATGTGGTCAAGATCAAAGGTAATTAAAAATCGGAAAAATAAAATGGTACCTACTGAACTTGTACCAGACTTGTTTGTTGTACCTACTACTGAATAATATTATTTGAAGTCAAAATGGCAACGACCCTTGATACCATGACAATGTTGTCAAGTTTCATTCACTTAGGAATATTTAAATTGATTTACCGGTAATTCACTTTGGTCATAGATCTATGCTTTGGTATTCGCGCCCTGTAAATACAAGGTGAACCACGGTGGATGGCCTATTAGAAGCAGTATCTGTAGAACAAAAAGACGTACAGAACATTCTGAACATTGGGATGCTCTGATAATTGGACATTCTCTATCCGTCTAAAATATTTTCATCGATACAGGGTGTTGCCATTTTCATCAGAAACAACTATAGCAACTTTGTTATTTCAAATGAAACACCCTGTTTTTTATTGCATTTTCAGATTCTTCCTGGAGAGTTGATTTCATCAATGCATCACACTTGGGGTCTAGCAAGAATGATTACAGAGATATAGGGTGTACAAAATACGAGATTTCTCAATTTTAGGATTTTTTTGTGTCGAAACTATTCATTATCGATCAAAATGGCTTACATGTCCATATCTAAACTTTTGATTCACTATACCTACTGGAATTTAATTGACAAAAATGCAGGGTGCTTCAAGATTCAGAATTCTGATCACCCTGTATCTGATTCAATTAAATGTCAGTAGATATTGAATCGGAAGTTGAGATAGGGACATGTACGCCATTTTGATCAATAATGAATAGTTTTGACACAAAAAATTCTAAAACTGAAAAATCTCGATTTTGAACACCCTATATATCATTCCTGCTAGACCCCAAGTTAACGAAGTTGCTAACTGTTTCTGATAGAAGTGGCAACACTGTATCGATGAAAATATTTTAGAAGGATATAGAGAATGTTCAATTATCAAAGCATCCCAATTATCAGAATGTTCTGTCTTTTTGTTCTCCAAGATACTTAATAGGCCATCTACCGTGGATCACCCTGTCTATAGGTATATGTAGGTACACCCAGCCAAACACCCAGCAAACATCAATAATAAATATGGGCAATCGCTTTTTTGAAGCAATCACCCCAGAGTAAACTGTTAGGACACAGTTTAAGGAATACCCATTCCATATAAACTGTGGTTATATAGGATAAGGTACCTATATATATCTGCAGAAAATATGAGTCGTATATCAATTAACACTGATGATGGTTTTCAGCTTCGAAACGTTGAGTACTTGTGAAGGGCAATATTTCGTTGGATTCGGAATTGGAATATTAGAGTTCTGTCAAAACAAAAACATTCGTTCGACCATTTAGAAAACAATAAAATTTATATGATGTATATTGGATAGAGTGGGAAAAGTGGCACTATAATAATAAGCAATCCATTTTGTCAAATATTGTCCGAAAAAAACACGAAATCCTAGATATTTGGTTTTTCAAATATCTTTGGAAGTATTCGATATTTTCAAACATTTGAGGCGAATGAGGTGGCATTTTGATCAGCGTAAAATTGCGCCTTAATTTGAGTGAATTTGTATCTGTTATGGGAGACAACACAACCTGGAGCTAAAGTCTACTACTTTTTTCCCTTATCCCTTATATAATAAATAACTATTATTTTCATGGGTATGGGTGCGGCAAAAAGATAGGCAGGATTTCAAATAGTGGTTGCTCAGTTTGTAAAACCGGCAAAACTGTGCACGCGGTCGTGTTAGGTAGACAAAAGTATGCAATTTTCAGATATAGTTGAAGACGGCTGTGGCGGAGTGCATCGTGCTTTCGTTGTCGAGGAGTTTTAACGGGATCCTATCGTGCTATCCCGTGGGCACTTTGTTGCTAAAATGTAAAACCCATTTTTTATCATTCCTAAGACCTTTGCAATGCAAAATCACTTGGTCGTCCAAAAATCGTAGTAGGAGAGGAGTGGGGGGAGCCTTTTTTTAAAAAAAAGCCAATTTTTTTTTTCATCGGTTTTCAGATCTAAGATTTGAGATAATTCATTCCTCAAATTTGTATACCCATCCGGATATCAGAAATATTTTTTTTCAATTTATAAAAATACGTCGCAGCATTGTTGTATATGGAGCGCCTTCACACAAAACCGCTTGCCCTGCACACCCATATTTTTAAAATCATTCAACTCGCTCTACCTCGAAAAGTATTGGGTCTAGCAAAAAAAGGTTTTCGTTAAACGTTAAAGACCAAACATCAGAGAACATGTTGGGCTTTTTAGAATGTTGATTGGATAATTGGTTCACGAGAAAATTGAATAAATCGAACGGCATGTCGCGATGAACAGCGGCGACCGCAGAGACACGAGGAAGGGCGAGATTGCTATGCCTATGTCAACCGAAAATCCACTCTACTGATGGCGATGTTGGTACGGTCGATTTTACCGTGACTTCACTGTTTTCTTGTAAATTCGAATGCATTGTTCTGGTAGCGCGGATTCCACTGAGATTACTAGTGATGAGTGATAAAGTTCTTGTCTATAAATCATATCATTAAAAGCGAATAATAACTTATTGGTAAGTTAAGAGGGGTTTAACCCTATGAGCGATCATTGGGGAAACAAGGAACGGCAGAAATCAAAATACTCGAAGCTCGCTGAATAAATTTAAGATTTTTTTTTCACGGATCGTTTCTAGAAGGTTTGATCTAGGGATCTCTCGGAGTACTTTTTCGAAATTTTGAAAAAAAATACTCGAAAAAAATTCCAGAAAATTGACCAGATTCCCTATTTTTTTTCTCACTAGGTATATATTTTTTTTGAAAAGTACTTCGAGAGATCCCTCACTTATACATTTATCTTCGTTGTCAAAAAAATTCGCAAGGATCCATTCAAAATATCACCATCAAAAGTGATTTTTGCTGGACCTCTGCAGACGCAATTTTGGATCATTTTTCTTCAGGCAACTACGTATCGCTGCGTCGCGTCGCTGCTGTAACACCACTTCGGGTATTTTCGTTCAGTCGTTGGGCAAACATATTACCGATGGGGAGAGTCTTGTCTTGTCAAGTACCTCATGTCAGTGCCAACTTCACACATGTTTACCTTCTTTCGTTCTTCTTCTTTCGTTGTTTTGAAATGGTAAAATTAAATATAAATAAAAATGGACTCTCTTTACGAAAAATATCAAAAAGATATCAGAATGCCGTGTAAATACGGTGCAAAATGCTACCAGAAAAACCCTGTGCATTGTGGAAAGTACAAGCATCCTCCTACTAAGAACAAGGTTAGTCATTCTTTGAAATTAAAATTAGAATATTTGTCATTAATTGATTCATTTGTAATAATCAGCAGAGTTTTTTCTTTTTTGTATAAGGCTAGCCAAGGGGATAGACAACCTAGAAAAAAAATCAAATTACAAGTCAAAGCTCCAACTACACAAAATGATTCAGATTCTGACAGCAATGCAGAACCCAGCAATTCTAATCTGCCAGAGAAAGTTGTCAATAATGATGTATCCGAATCAGATGAAGATTCTATGAATAATTATGTGTCTGAATCTGATGAAGAAGCTATGAACAAGGATGTGTCAGATGAAGACACCAATAAGATGAATATGTTGAAATCAGATGAAGAAACTGAGAACAAATATACCTCAGAATTGAATGAAGAAAATAAAAAGAATGATGTGTCAGAATCAGATGAAGAAACTGATGAAGCATCTATGAAGACAGCACTATTAAATGATAAAAATGAGGCTACATTCATAAAGAAACACTTCTTGACAGACATGCCTCAAGATTTCTACCAGTTTTGGGATTTTTGTAGGAATATCAAACCAGAAAATCCCAGGGAAGCTCTCAAACCTATAGGGCTTTTCCTGGTTGGCCCATTTGATGTACTTGCTGGCAAGTTTTGGGATGCTGAGCCTGATAGTGATTTTCTGATCCATTGGAGGTATTTCCGAGATCCACCAGAGTTACAGACAGTACTTAAAGGAGATGCAAGTACTGGTTATCATATTGGGTATTTCAGAGATTCTCCAGATGAAAATCCTGTATTCTTAGTAAACAATCAGGCAAATAAAGATGGAATCCTGCATCAGATGGGATCCAATATTTTTGCAGCTGTGAAGTAAGTAAGATGTAACAACTATCCAGAGGATAATTATAATATGATACATTGGGAATATTCATTGACTGTCACCTCGACTGTCACCATTCCTTAGATAATTTGAAGCTGGTAATGCAACTATTTCAAGTTATTTTCCTGTTGAGGTTTGGTGTTCTTGCTATTTCAATAACTCTGGATTGATTCCTAATCCTGTTCAGAATGTACTGAATTTGATTTTTGTAGTTGATTTTATTTATTAAATCATAATTAATGAAACATGATGAAAAATTGTACCCCTTATTGCTTGATAGGCTGAGGTTCTTGAACTGTTTTACATTATTGATAATCCCCAGTACCACATGACTCATATAGAAATTTTCAAAAATTATTTTTTTAGTTTTTATCTTGAGGATTTGAAAAAATCTGGAGATCCATTCAAAAAAATGTACATAGGCAAGATTCAGTCTGCATTGAAGAGTGAAGCAGATAAATTGAAAATTGATTTGTCTAAAAAAACACCCAGTATGGTTGCCAGAGAGAAAAAGATTGTGACCAGAACTTTCAATAAGATTGGACTGGTAGTACCCTATGATAAAAAGTGAGTTTGAATCAATATAATTCAATTGCTAAAAAATATTCTCATTGTTCAGTATGATATTGGTCTGATCTGAATCATATGATTTTTATAACAATATTAATAATGATAATGATGAGTACTTATAGGTATATGGAACATTTAAAAAAATTTACTGATTATTTGAGTGTTTATATTACTTTTGGAAAATCCAATGACATCATAATGTATGTCAATTAGAGTATGTACATGTATACCAAAAGAACTGGATTCCATTTAAAAAAATGTAGTTGAGGGCTCTATAGGAAAAACTGTAAAACTGGCAACGTTGCAAATATTATTTTTAGATCCGGCACAACTGATTTCCCCCGTTTACCAAATTTCATAATTTTATGTCAAGCCGGTGCTGACATATTCGGCCGTTTCGGTTATTTTGGGGAACCCTGTATAAATATATTTATAAACACATATTTTTCATGATTATGTAGTGTTCTCTAATTAACCCTGCTGTTTTATCATTTTCGGAAATTTTGCATTTTATATCATTTTGAGCTGGTTATATGAAACAAAATCAGTGCCACCTTATACATCATAATATAGGATCATATTCTTTGTGGAATTGAATATCAAAAATGAAAACTCATTCTATGAAATCTAGGCAAACCCATTTTTCCATCAATGAATGAATAATAAGATTATTTCATGAAATTTTGTTGGCACATTCTCCTTCATTACAAACTAATCCTAGAATACTGTTCTCATGTATGGGGTTCAGCATCCAAATATATGCTGATGATGTTCTTAGATTCCATCCAGAGAAGAGCCATTTGCCTGGTGGGTGATGCTACAGTCACTCTTTGACCTCATTAGAACACCGTAGAAAAGTCGGCGACCTTTCACTTTTCCATAGATATTTCCATGGGAAATGTTCGTCAGAAATCTCTTCAATAATTTCATTACTAGCAATACTAGTCAGACGAACTCAACCGGCCCAGTGAGCACATCATTTTGTCGTTAACCTTGAGATATGTTGAACAACACTACCAAAACTCGATCGTGGATAGAACCGCAAAACTTTCGAATTATTTGCCATTGGAAGTATTCTCAAGAACTTATAAACTTCAAATGTTAAAAAAAATATACCAACACCTACCTCCTCTCCTTTTCCTTCCCAGGTAGGTACGCACGATGTTCCACGAACATTATAGGAATTTCCTTCCGTGCGCTCCAAGAGAAAAAAAAAGAGAAAAAATTGAAGATCTTACATGAGTGGTTAGCCCCCCATGTGGAAAAGAATTCGGATAATTCCATATTTACAATGACTTTGAATCAAGTGCGTAAAATGAGTGTTTTTTAATGGCACATGAAAGTGTTAAGTTCTCGCCAATCTCTCCTAAAATTCCCTCGGAATGTGCCATGAAAACAGGAATGCAACTACTTTTCGTCCACAGACACTAACTTTTCGTCCGCAACTACTTTTCACCCGCTGTCTGGTTGCCAGCTCTACTGAATTTTCAGTAGAAGTCCTGATAATCTACTGAAGAATATTTTGACACTTATTAATTATTATAATGACCTATATTATTATATCGAAGACTGGAACCTTTGGCACGATGATACACGACACTGTTTCACCACTAACCAAACCAATTTTTAATTTATTTATTTTTTATAATAAAAAATCGGTTTAGTTAGTGGTATAACAGTGTAGTGTACCTATATTATCATTAATCTTCAGTTGATCACATACACTTATAAATTGCATGATATTTCAGTACTCTCTGTTCAAATTATTTTTACAAAATGAGTAATAAATGTACATATATAGGTACGCATCCTACGCATCCTACTACCAGAGCTATAAGTCTGAAATACGTCACAATTCCTAACACATCCTTTACATCAATACAAAGATCACTTCATTATATTGCGCCAAAAATATTCAATATCATACCCCCACAATTTAAAAATAGTCCTTACAAGTATAACAAAAAAAAATTCTGGTTGCTAGATAATAAAATTTCCTACTGATTAGGTCTGCTATGATAGTATTGTATGCATTGCATTGCATTAGATTTCATAATTACATTGTTACTATTTCTTGACCTCTATTGTAAAGTGTTAATTATCATTATTATAAGTGTAGTTGATAATAAAAATCAGTTACTAATTATTAAACGTAGCACACGCACATTCTTATTAGAAAATCGTGTGATACATGTTTATATTGTTGAAAAAAATTACTATATGAAAATAAAAAACTTTTTTTATGATGATGACACATGATATTTTGACGTCATAAGTTTATTTCATGATCCTTTCTTGGAATTCGGATAGCATGAAACAGATCTTGAACATATCCATTGAAATCTACTGAATTTTTGAGAAGATATTCACTGATGGAATAAAAATCGAACTGGCAACTCTAGTCCGCGCGAAGAGTGAGTTGACAACAACTGTCATTTACTGTTGTCAAATTGATCATTCACGAAATCCGATAGATTTCACATGTGAATAGGACCGTGATGTGAATATAAGTGTTTGAGGTCGACGAAAAAATGTAGTATGCACCTCGGCGAAACACTCTGTCATTGTCTCGCCTGATTGCTAGCCTCGGTTTTCAATTTGTAGACTCGACTTTAATAGACAGGGTTTCGTCCTTCGTACATAAATAATTTCACGGTGAAAAAAGTTAACATGTAGGCATCAATGAAGATGCAGAAATGTCAAGTTTTTTTTACAGTTGTACAAAAAACTTGTTTTATCAGGTGAACAATTCCTTCTAATACTGCATCTGAAAGTTAATACATAATCTGATTCTAAGAAATACTATTAGCAAATTATTTTTTTATAGGACTGAACAAGGATATAGAGCATTAGCCTTGAACAACAAAGATTTGAACACCCTATTCACTAAACTGCAAAACTCGAAAACTGAAGAAGAAAAAGAAAAATACCTGTCTGAACTCCAACCAGTCTTAACTTATGCCAGTATAGCGACCGATGAGTGTGATTTTGGAACAGGAATTGAACTTGGATGGAATATCATAAGTCATGGAGTGGAATGTTTGAATTTCTCAGCAAGCAGATTTCTCAAATTGAACTATGAGCTGCTTAAAAGGGAGGCCTTTGGTCAAATTGCTGTAGCCCATATGAAGAATCGAAGGAAGGGAAGCAATTTGAGTATACTTTAATGTTTTACTTATGTGGTTTTTCAACACCAATTGGATTTTTAAATTTCCATCACTTTTTTTGTGGAATGAACTGCTCTGAATATATATGTTTTTTCATTTTATCAACTGAATTATTCTTAAAATATCAACACATCTACCAATTCAATGTTTTTAATGGGTTTTTATAGTTAACTGTGGGAAAAAAAGATATTAAAAAATTCACAATGAACTCATAGGACCTCTCATTCATGTTTCTGAGATACAGGTTGATTTGGAAGGTGTTTCCATTTTGAAAACATTCCCTTTAGTGTTTTTCTTATGTGATTTTTCAACACCAATTGGATTTTTAAATTTTCATCACAATTTTTGTGGAATGTATTGGTCTAATTTGGTATATATATTCATATACACATCTACCAATTCGATGTTTTTCGTGGGTTTTCCATTAATTGTGATAGAAAAAAGTATTAAAAAAATCACTATGAATGCATAGGAGCTCTTGTTTCTGTTTCTGAGAAACAGGTTGATTCAGAAGGTGGTTCTATTTTGAAAATATGCCCTTTCTTGGGCTAGTTTTCGATAAAAAATTCAGGGGCTCCTTTACTTTCCTCCATAATTATGATACAACTTTTAAGTTATCAACAAAATATATGATTCTCATGAATGCAACTCTATTGATATTATTTATGGATGACAAACATGCTCTTCATTAATGGAACTAAATAAACTATTTATTATTTTATCATCATGTTGAAATTGATAATTATAATTAATTTCCAAAATAGTAGGAACCCATATCAACAATTGATTGGTCAATTATATTTGGCCAGCAACATTCAAAATTCATATTGATCAATCAATATTTATTAAGAAATTCGAATACAATTTGGTTTAGCAAAAAAAATAACAAATCCCATCCTAGACGTCAATTATTCCTCCCGATAGTACCCCTCCGTCTGTAGAAGAGTAAATAAGGCACTTGTGTGTCCTGCGGCTTCAACACTTGCTCTTCGGTGATTGTCGTAATGGTGGCGTCATCGAAGCGCAACCAACAGCTATGTTCCATTTGGAAGGCATCGATAAAATAGTGGCCCCTAGTTGCCTTATCGCCGACGTGGTAGACTACGGCAAACAACATATAATATCTTCCTTCGGGCGTTTGTGACTTCGAAGATAACAACCTCGACTCGATTTCTAGGTTGACAGGGAATTCCAACGCCTTGATGATTTTCGTACAGCCGTCTGGCTTGAAATCGAAGAATTTCAGATGCAGAATGAGAATGACTGGCAGCACATCCAACATCAATTGCTGCCACGCCTGTACCACTTCATTTGTGTTAGGAGAAGTCCATTCTTCCAGCTCCTCTCTATTCACAAGTGTCTCCAGAGCCTCTTTGATCGTCTTCACTTTGTCGACATTCAGTTGCAGAGTCAGGAAGGGTTGAATATTCTCCGTGGAAACATCTCCAGCTCGCATGATTTTCGATCTCAACTGGCCGCCAAAAATAGCGCGTATTGGCGTCTTTTCGAAGACTGTTCTTTTTGAAACACTGCAAGATTGGAACATTTTATATTTCACTTTTAGTATTACAATAACGTTGACAGCTGACACCACTAAAACTTCTGCAATTAAGATTTGCTAGGCGATAATATGCTCAAGTGATATTGTTTTGAATTGTGAAAAAGTTATTGTCACTTTCATCTTTCTACAAAAACAATTTTATGAACTTACCCAGCAGAAATTAATAGATGGGCCATCACTTTCACAGCAATGTTACACCAGTGAACTATCATTGTCTTATTATTGGCAACTTTTAATGGTGAATCACAAAAGTTGCCCACTGGCCGACGGGGAGTCGTTAATCTATGGGCCTACTTAACGCCATTATTGGCTAAGCAGTAGTTTCATTTATTGCTGATTCATTGTTGGCTCAGTGATGACTGACTGACGTATTTTCAGTGCGTTCCCAATGGTTTATTCTTACACAAAGACATTTCAGGTGATGTAGAGAAAATATTATTTCACTAATAACAATGATGATAATAATGGTAATTAGTAAGAAACTTCTTTTATTCAGTTATATATCCACATCTGATTTGGCCAATCAGTCAAGAGTTTACGAATTTCGTTTCTGTTGGTTGATATTGTGAAGTCTGGAATGTATGGAAAATGGCCAGAACTCGACAACTCCTCTTCTTTGGTATCTGGAATGAACTATTTGTGAATTTCAAGTAACCTACAAATCACAACTGCATATTATTTAGCCTGCTGCAACAATAGTTAGATGATCCTGGATAGATGGAAACAAAGGCTCGTCAAGTTTGAGGTAGTGGTAGATTGCTTTTAAGACTGAAAATTCATGGTATATTATGGCATTACATATTATCAGGATGGATGTTCTCGAGAAAGAATATCAGTTTACAGAACTAAATTGGTTATTTCAATCTGATGAGATTTTATAATACACTCTCACAACTTTCCATCTATTCACTTGTTCACTTCACATCTTACAATAACAAATGACTCATGCGCAGAAGGATAGAATAAACCAAATGGAAGACCTATGGCAAATACATCAATTGTCCATTGTCAAAATAATGATGCCAATGAAATGCATCTGAGAGGCTACGATGGTCCATTATTGTCATCTCATTGATGACTTTTTGATATTGCGAAGAACCTATATCCTTCATTCATCGTTCAACAAGTAATGTTCTAGTGATCTTTGTGAAAAGGATTATACCCATTGCCCCATTGCCCTAAAAATAGTGTAATCTTGATTCCATAAATGAAAGTGCAAGATAGGTATTATAATATTGAAACAGCAATGAACATTTACTCTTTCATCACCGAAAAATAGTGCCAGTAGTATACCTTCGATAAGCTGCTTAGTGATTCATTCATAATGAAAAAATTTGTTCAATTGGTATTGAGTGTGGCTCATTCAAATCCAAATTTGCATATTTTTCCATCTGAAATATACATGGAACTGCACAAGTGCTGTAACTTCTGAATCATTCATGATCGGATAAGAGTGAGAGAGAGAAAGAGAGAGAGAAAGAGAGAGAAAGAAGGTAATTCTAATTTGGGAAATGTTCGAATAAGATTTCATTTGAAAATCAGGTGATCAGAATATATTTATAAAATCATCAGTATCGGAATTCAATCATATACGTATTAATAATCAATACGGATAATCTCTATCTGTTTCCATAGCGAAACATGAAGCCTATTTTTGAAGACAAATGACTATCCATAAGGAAAAGTTTTGAATCGATCAGACACATACTGCTTTGATTGAAAGGCTAGTAAACGTCATTGTCCACCGAAACGCATGTCTTTGATGACTACTATAATAGCGCATGGCGCATGCGTATCATGCTACCAAATCCTTATGGATATTCATTTGTTTCATATTTTTGGCTTCATCCTGGCACCCGTTATGATCCGTATTGTTTATTAATACGTATATGAATTCAATGAAGATATATCTCAAATAAATTTAATTTTTATGGTTTGAAATATGTTTGTAAAGTCTTTGATTTTTCTTCTACCCAATTATTTTTGAAAACCTAGTATCTTTACCTATCGACCATAAATTATAGAGATGAAAATTTTTCGAGACGGTGACAATTTTGTGCCGATGATCTTATTTCATGGTCTTTAAATCACTTAGTGGGCATGACAGGAAATAATTCTCAATATAAATACCAAATAATTGTTCATTGTTTTATAATTAATCCTTTTATTGAATGTAGGTAGTAGATATATGAAGTCGCCTCCGTAAATTATTTTATTGTGGGAATGAAAAGGAATAATCTTATGTTCAGTGTTAGACCAGAAATAGAATCCTAACGTATGTCAATTCATGTCATTCTGAATGAATTCAATATTATTTTGTGAGGGTAGCAGGAACTTTCCAAATGGCATGGATATAACCAACCAAAATCAACTATCAAATAGAAAATATAAAGTTACGCAGTTCGGGATTTTTTTGTGACAAAAAATGGAGTATGTTGTAGGTTACACAGAATTTTTCCTCATTGAAGTTGATTTTTTTCTGTAGATACAATCGAACCTTATTGCCATTTTTTGACTTGTGAAGAAAAACCAATTTTATCCAGTTTATTTACTAATATGCCGTAAATCTAGTCTGTCGAATGCTTTAGGAAAATCTATACAGATTTAGTCCATTTGAAATAGATTTTCTTGATCCTCCGCCAAATTCGTACTGATATGAAATAAGTTTGATGTTGAGCTACTGTTCGTAAAATTATGTTGGTAAATAGATCGGCTTTCCTCAAGTTGAAAGTAGCTTTTTTTGCAGAAGGATTTCAGATACCTTGCAGAAAGTACAGATGTACAGGGTATGTAACGAGCTTACACTAGTCGGGAGAAATCCATGAAAATGTGCATGCTTATATTTCAGAATACGCTCTCATTTGAAATATTTTCGACAATGCAGTGTTGCCGCTTCTACTAGAAAGTGGTAGCAACATTGATATTTCAAATGGAAAACCCTGTATTCTATCGCATTTTTAGATTCTTCCTGAAGAACTGATTTCATCGATATATATCACACTTGCGGTCTATCCAAAAAGATTTCAGAGATATAGGGTGTTCAAAATCGAGATTTTCCAACTTTAGGATTTTTTTTTCTGTCCAAAATATTCAATATCGATGAACACGGCTCACATGTCCCTATCTCAACTTCTGATTCACTATTTACAGATATTTAATCGGAACTGATACAGGGTGGTTCAAGATTCAGAATTCTGATCACCCATCAGTATCTGTTCCGATTTTAAATATCAGTAAATTGTAAATCGAAAGTTGAGATAGGGACATGTGAGCCGTTTTGGTCGATAATAAATAGTTCAGAGACAAACAAATCCTAATGTTGAAAAATCTTGATTTTGAACACCTTGTATTAATAATATAATAAAATCATTTCTGATAGACCCCAAGTATGATGTATCGATAAAATCAGCTCTTCAGGGAGAATCTGAAAATGCAATAAAATTCAGGGTATTCTATTTGAGATAACAAAGTTGGTGCTACTTTTTGATAAAGGCGGCAACACTGCATTGCTGAAGATATTTGAAAGAAGAGAGCGTATTCTAAAATATAGCTGACTGATTCTCGATATAGAGATAGTGTACGCTCATCGTGACATACCATGCATGTATTAATAGGTCTGAATGTTATGACATGTTATCGTTTTTTTTTAATTCTTTTTTTGGTCCCATCACAGAATCCAACGCCGCAAAAATCTAAACTTGTGCGGGGTTAGGTGGAGTTATTACCATCCGTCCTAATTTCCCTGGACATGTCC